ACTCAAGGACCGAGTCCTAATCGAAGTCCCTATTTAAGGAGTCCGGACCGAAAGGATCGGACTTTTAACAGCCCTACCTGCCGTACACATAAGTGTCTAAATTACCTTTTAATGAACAAAAGTATTTCGGCATTTAGCGTTAGTCTGTCGAAATCAGTTTTTCATATTTGGCAAATTTTTATAGTTATGAAATGATTGGATAAATGATTTATTTATACATATCCAAAAATATTAAATAGCATAACTATTTCATAATTTACAGTGTTTGAAACACGGATACGTATAATTTGTAGATCAATATAATGCAAAATATTAAATTAATTAAAATTTAGATTTGTTAACGTTAGGGTTAGTGTAGTTTGTACTAAAATTTCACGGAGATTTTTTTTTTCCTGGTAGAATCCAAAGAGTGGTTTTATAAGCAAAATCTTATATGTATCCGTGTTTTATACATTAGTATACTGTACATAAATAGAAATTGTCAAACACTTACGATCATTAATTGATGGCAAAAACAAGTATTATAGTAAAATTATTACCAACCCATTTTTTTTTTTGGTACGTACGTACGTACGTACAGTACATATCTGATATATAGTTTATTATACATGTGATGAAACTATTTCGACTTATTCAAAACTAGTTACAATATAAGTCATAATAATTCGATCCAAGCCAAATAGTCTCGATTTAACAAGAGTGAATCGTAGGCATTTATACATCTGGTCGAAATTATTACGGTTTGTATTGAAGTCTATTACGGCTTATGTCAAAACAGTTTCGGCCACGTGTATAAGAACCTAACGCAGACTTTGAACCCGGTTTGTCCAGTGACGACTTATTGTCGGAATAGCCACATCTTTTCTATCCAGTTAGTTCTGGTAAATCAGTGATTCACACCGGATCATCATAAACGAGGTCTGATCGTAATTAATCTTGAAATAAGGATTTTAATTTACATATAACGCTAATTTCTTATTTGCATCAGTTATGAAAAATTTAACTACATTAGCGCTAGTTAGAGCAAATTTATCTACGTCAGCTATGTTAGTTGTAACCATTACGACATGTCAATTTGATCAAGTTTTTAGCACCTATAATTATGTAATAGTAATAGCATTAGAAGGTATGCAAAATGCCGGTAAAATAACGCTTTAAATTATTAAAAACCACACGTCACGAATAAACGTATTTTGATATATAAATTTATACTTTAAAAGAACCTTAGCATACATAAACGTGAAAATTTTCTACTGGTCACATGTGCGTTAAAAAAGGAAGTTACTAATAAAGAATTTGTTTGTGTCACCATCCTAATATACACTTATACAAGTTCTGTAACCAATCATTATTTAAAAAATATATAAAAGTGCGATCAATTGATTGTTACTAACTTACTAACTCAACTAAAATATACACTCAATATTCATTAACTTTCCTTTAAAAATATGTCTGTCTCTCATAGAGATACACGAAGTACTATCTTGTTCGATTCTTCAAAAGAGCAAGATATTAATGATGACTGCTCAGTTTCGTCTGAGCTTGATAATTTAAGTGACCAAGAGGGAGAGGACCGACAAACTTTTATTCAAAATAACGAACGTCAAAGTGATGCTTTCGATTTCGATGACCATCTTATACCATTAGCCCTAACAGAGACACGAAGGCATCCTACTCATTTAGAGAAAGAAGTTACATTTTATAATGGTCTTAATCTAGTAATCGGTTCAATAATTGGATCTGGTATTTTTGCTTCTCCGGGTCCTGTCGTAATGCACGCAGGATCAGTAGGAATGTCATTAATAGTGTGGCTTACATGTGG